GATTTTAATTTTATATACTAATTGTGTTTCAACGCTTTGGTAGCATATTGATTACATCATTTAATTTTCTTTTTCGAAATCGTTACACTGGTTAACAGTGAGTTGAGCATTCCATTTCTATATTTACTATTTACTATTGTTGTGTAACATTAGAGGAAAATTGTCAAACACGTGGCCGATGTCTCTTGTTATGCTCTGTATCTCTGATGATTTTAACCAGTGTTATATTATTTATTTCTATTTTCCGACACATAAAGTTGAACCAAAACCAATATAACTGACGGTTCTATGTTGTCTTGTGTCATGCTGCGTTACTGGAATGATGATGGATTTAATGGTCATGGGTGTAGGGTGCACACAGTCCTGGACCGCGTGCTCTGTCAATGGGCGTTTATCCCATACAAAGCATATGCTCCCAGATTCTAGATATGTCTGATGTAAGTACTTACGGCCGTTCAATCCAGAAAGAATAAATAGTTCGGCAGTAGCAGAGTTTTCTGTAGTTCGCTGGTTCGCCTCTCTGTGGCATGTCGATATTGTCGTTATTGATGTATACACAATCGCCTTGAAGTATATATTAAATAGGTTATTTAGTCAACGTGGTATTCCCATCTTTGGCTATTATCAGAATGATAGTAGCTCAAGTCTGTAAGATACATCTCATGTCGATTGAACAATGGCTGTTGTATAGCAGATCTTCTAGTAAAGTTTTAAAAAGGGTCAGATCGATGTAAATGATGATGGTCATTCATGTTCAAGGTACAAGTACAATTAGTATTTATCGATTAAGTCGGCTTTTGTAGTCGCGATTTCATTGTCACTTCTCTGTTGTACTTCTTTTTTTGCCTGAGGTTTAATGTTCTTGCAGAGTATACACATTGAACTGAATGATGTATGGCCTGATTTACATATTGAATAGAACAACAGTGCACTCACTCGCATTCCTTTTAAACAAATTATATGCTCAGTTTTACTCAGTTACATATTTACTATTAATTCGGCATGTTGTTCCTATCATATTTTCATGCATTTGTATTGATTGTCCCTGGAATTCCTTCTTCAGTCTCTACTAATTTTTATTGTTACATTCCTTTTACATCCTTTCTGAATATTTTTTGATGTAATTAGTGTGCGACAACAATAATAAATGAAGCAAACTTGTAGCTACAATTTACACTCTTTGGACACTATTAAAAGTATAC